GGGAAATGGGGGGCCATGGGGGTGTGATGAGCACAGGGTAAATGCCTACATGGATAGAGAAGGAGGGCGGGGAAGCATCCACATGCAGAGCCAAGCTGCAGCTGCCTGGTTGTATCTGCCATGGGAGTCGCTAGCCAAGCATCCCAGCCCTTGCATGGCGTGTGGGGGAATGTGATGGAAGCCTGGGGGGGCCGCCCTTCCACAGCCCCCTCACTCCCTTCTAAGCGCCGCCCTGCCCTGGTGATGTGCTGGAGGAGTAGGCCCCACGGGGCTTGTGCATGGGAGCGATGGTGCAGGAGTGGAGCCGCTGGACCGGACAGTCCTTCCCACACGCCATGGCCTGGTGCGTTCCTGGCTGGGGGGGGCTCCCCAGCTGACTGGGGGCTGCAGTGACTCGCATGCTGGACGAGGGCTGCAGGGCGGGGGGAGCTGCCTTTCTGTGGCTCAGTCTGTGCTGGTTTGTCCTGAGCTGGGGCCAGGGGGAACAATGCAGGTCTTGTTTGGGAGCCTGGCTGGCTGGCTGGCTGGGGGGTGCTGAGAAAAGCGAGCCGGGGAGGGGCAGCCAGAGGCCGAGATGGCTCCCAGTGTGCAGACAGGGTTGAAAGTAGCTTGTGGGGCCCCTGGCGGAGGGGGGCAGCTGCCCCAGCCCACCGCCCACGAACGGCCCCAGGGGTAGGATGGAGAACAGATTGGCCAAAGCCAGTGCGGCAGGAGAGGGGAGACAGGCTCCTTCACACAGCGATAATGAGCTGGCAGGGGAAGTGCCCCTGCCCGAGCAAGGGGCCCCCCACACCAGAGGGGACAGGATCTCTGGCCCTGGCTTTGCCTGTCACTAGGAGGGGGTTGGAGCATTGCACTCAGCAGCGTTGGGATCTCATGCCCAGCCCCCCCCAGGTAGGGCAGTCAGGGGTCACCCCTATTGGGGGGTCTCATGCTCCATAGTCTCCCCGCCCCCCCCTCACTCCACCAGCCTCTTGGGCCCAACTCCACTCAACAGGCTCACTCCCTCCTGTAGCAGAAAGGGGCCCTGGTCTTCCCTCACCAGAGGGTCTCCCCCCATGGCACAGTCCCACTGCCAACCTCTCTGCACACAAATGAACTCCCCCCCCCCCCCCCCCCCAGAGCCCCCCCCCCCCACGCCAGCAGCAGGGGGAGCTGCCCTGTTCTGGTCACCAGGTAGGATGTGGCACGTTTACCTTTGGGGGGCTTCTGTCAGCAAACCACCCGGATCCTTCATTGCTGGCAGCCAGCCCAGTGCCTAGGCCGTGAGCCACACGTGAGAGGGGGGCACGAGGCTGTGCCAGGCCCTGGCCAAGTGGAAGGAGGCAACTGCTGTGGAGCGGGATCCTGGGTTGGTGCTAGTGGGGAGCAGCCAGGCTGCTGGAGAGCACATAGCTCAGAGCAGGAGGGGGAAGGAGCCTGCAGCAGAAACAGTTCCAGCCTAGCAGGCTGGGGCTCTGCGCCCTCCTAGCTCGGGGCAGCTCCCGCCCTGGTGATCTGCCCCCCCCCCGGCCAACACCTGCTGCTGAAATTCCAGGTGTGCAACAGGGCAGGGGCAGGATGCCCTGCTGTCGTGCGGAGGGTTAGGTACACAAGGGCATAGGTGGGCCCTGGGCATCCACAGAGCCAGGAGCACACCGCACCAGCCCTGCCTTTCAACTGTGGGAAAAGCTTCCCCTAGTGCCGGCCTTGAGTGCTGCATTCGGCGTCTCCTGAGACTTGCTGGAGTGGCTGGCACTGGTGCCCAGCCTGCTCTGCCCCTCCCCGCACCCCAGGAGGTGCCTTCACTGCACTAATCCAGGACGGGATGTGCTGAAAGGGGGCCCGTGGGAGCTTGAGTTTCTCGCAGCAGCACTGGGCACCTTGCCAACACTTACTCAGAGCCTCGGAAATGGGCCCAGAAAGGCCAGCAGCCCAGGGAAAGGAGCACAGGAGGAGGGGCACGAGGGCACACTCAGCCCAGGGCTGGTTGGCTGGCAGCAAGGCTGCTTTTAAAGAAGCATATCCCGCTCCCACTGCTGGGGGCCAGCCCTGGCCCGGCCCGAAGGGCTTACCCAGAACAGACAGGCAGGACATAGTGCAAAGCAAGTGCTGGGCCCTGAGAAGTCTGCAAAGGGCAAGGAGTTGTCCTGCATGCTGGAGGGCGAGCAGAGCAGGGGGAGGGAGCTGGAGGTAGAGGTGTTCCACCCACCACAGCCCAGACCCATAGCAGGGCACGGCCCACTGTCAACAAAGCTAAGGAAAGGGAGCTGCCGTAAGCTGAGGGCTTTGTGTCACCGCCCCAGAAGCAGCCAGCTAAAGCTTCTGCCCAGCTAAATGCCCTTTCCCTGGCACAAAAGCAAGGTTTGTGCCTGCAGCATCAACAGCCACCGTCACAGGCAGAGCACCATGCAGCGAGAACAGGTGAGCGTGAGGAGGATGGTGTGGAGCTGCTGGAGAGCAGCGCGGGGGAGGTGAGTGCTACCACCCTCCAGCTCCACCTTAAGGGCCAAGGACATGAGGCACTGGGAGACATCACTTCCCCTCCACCTTCTCAGTCATCTCTACCCCAGCAGGAAGAGCTGACACTGCCGCACAACTGCCGCTTCAGCTGCTAACGTAGTTATGGGCCTGAAGGGGTTAAGTCTAGTGGGGTATGTGGGGGAGGGGAGGGGGACTGCTCAGAATGACACCCCCCAGCTGTGACAAAGCCCCAGCTGCTCTCGCCCTCAGGCAATAAACCAGGGCTCTCTTGGGCACTGCCCTAACTGTGCAAGGCAGTGAGTCTGCCCTGGCAGCTGGACCATGTGCTGAGACCACTGCCAGGCTGGGGAGATGAGGAGAGGAAATGAGACCACAGCAAACACCCCCCAACACAAAACTGTTAATTTATTATGATTAGGAGGCCAAAAAAAAAAAATGGTACAGTTACAAGAATCATTTCCCACCAGAGAAGGTCAATATGAGCCAAAAAAATCTCTCCTAAAAAAGGAATAATGACACCACTTTACAATTCATTAAATAAACCATGGAAATGGCTCCTTGTGCAATTCTGCGAAAACGAGAAGAGAGGAGAACAAAGCAGGCTGGACGCCCCCCCCGCCCCCGGCTCTGTGCAGAGTGGGGGTCTGGGGAGGGAGCCCAGGGCTCTCAGCTGCCACTGAGCTGACACACTGGACAGGGCGGGACATGGCTGTGCCTGGATTACAGGCAGCTGCCCTCAGGCAGAAAGAGGCAGGCTGGGCACAGCAGCAGGCTCATAGCCCTTCCCAAGATCCCATCACTTCACCCCCAGCCTGCTCCGGGCCATCTCCAGTGCAAGGAGAGCAGGCTCCAGCACAGGACAGAAGTCACATGGGCTGGAGCAAACTGGGGCTCCTTTCCCCTCCTTCCAGGCCTGGCTGGCACTTCCCCTCCCCGCCAAGGCTGGAGAGGAGACCTAGGAGCAAGGCTTGGAGCCTGGGCTGTAGAGGGCAAGGAATTCCACCTTGACATCACACACGGCCCATCAGCCCTGCTGTTCCACTGAGACAGGCCTTTCCTCTGGCCCCTGCGTAGTAGGAGAGAGGCCAACACCCCCTCGACGTGCCCCTGTGCCAGCACTCCCGGCTGTGCCCCCTCTGGGCTGGGACAGAGGTGGGGGCAGCAGTCTGACACAGCCGGCCAGCTTGTTTCTAGTCCACGAGAGCCCTGAGTGAACAGCCCTGGGTTGGGAACACAGGCCCGGGGCGCTTTGCTCAGCAGCCCTGGCACCTTTCAGAGCAGCTCTGCTGTGCTGAGACTGTGGGCAGCCAGACATGCCCCTCCTGCTGCACCCCTCCCCAAGGGCCAGCCCTCCTCCCAACATGCACACCACTGGAACGGCAGGGAGCAGCACATCAAGCAAGGGGGAGCCCACACCCAGCACCGTAGGGGGTGGGCATAAGGAAGCCCCACTGCCGGAACTTGGAGCACAGGGCAAGCCCCCCTCACTTCCAGACTGGGGGGAGCAGAGATATCTAAAGCTCCTGAACTCACAAGAGGTGGGGTGGGGGTCTCTGGCTGCCAGTCACCCTCTTGGGGAAGGGAGAGCCCTGCCCCTAAACCCAGAAGCCAAGGTGGAGAGCTCCTCTGCAGGGCACAATCCCACCCTGGGCCCACGGAGATGGACGAGGCCAGAAGGGGTTTTCCCATCTCTGGATCCCCAAAGCCTGAGCCCCCGATCTCCCGGGTATGAGACATGCACATGAACTGGGGCAGACACCCCCGTGCTGGGCTGCAGCAGGAGGGGAACCCTGCTCCCGGACTCAGGAGCATGGGGGGGGGGGGGGGGGGGGGAAGGGCCTTCTCCAGAGCTTTGTCCTTGGCTTCAGTTCTACAGCAATTGCAACAGCGATGACCCCTCCGCTAAGCAAAGGGGGGCCTGGCCCCACGGCAGAGCCAATGGCACAGGTCCGAGGGGGCAGGTGAGTGCGTGCTGCACATCGCCCCTCTGCACGGGCCTGGGCACGACCTGGGTCAGCAGGTGCCACAGCTCTGGGCACAGAGAGCATTCCCCAGGCGCTGGTCGCTGGCCCGCAGGTACCAGCTCACCCCCATGCTGCACAGCTCGTCCCACCCAGAGAGCTTCTAAGGAGCTGGAGAACCCCCAAAGCAACCTGGGGGAATGGCAGAGTGCCCCCACCTTCCTCCACAGCCAGGGGAGCGGGCAGGAGTGAGTCACTTGTGGAGACTTTGGGGCCTGGGTTGCAGGAAGGGGAGAGGATAGGGAGGGAGGGAGTTGCCCCTGCCCCTCCCAGCCAGTGCCCAATCCCTGCCTGAGCATGGGATCGCAAGGCCGAGTGCCTGAGGAAAGGGCAGAGGGCTAGGGGCAGGAGTAGCAGCTCTGCAGACGGGCACAGCACTGACTCCCCACAGCCTGGTCAAGACTGCTGGCCTCAAACACCCCCATTGCCCTGCCCCCCAGGGCTGTGTCCACATGCAACACGGAGAATGGGGGTGGGCATGGGGCAGCGGGAGCTCCAGAGGCTTGGGGGGGGGGGGGAGAGGAAGGAGGGGGAACCGGACCTAGTGAAGATACCAGAGGGGCCCAAGGGCCTCAGGGTTGGAGGGACACCCCCATGGGAGCCTGCGTTCAGCATGGAATGGCCCAGTCAAGCCGCTCCGCTCCCACGCCACCCTCCCAATACTGCCTTGGGGGCTCAACCACCTCCAGCACTTCTACAGGTCACGGGGCCCAGTTTAGTAACAGCGTAATTGCTTAAATTAAAATATATATATACATATATATATATACTGTATACACATCGACCACAACAGAACAGTGCCAAAACGAGAGGGGGAGAGAGACAGAGGAGTCCGACAGCTTCTTTACAATAAAAACAGGAGCTCCGTCTCAGCAGGAGCAGAGCCTGGGGTCCCCTAAAAATACCCATCTAGAGAGAGAGATGGAGAGAAAGGGACAGAGAGCAGGGGACAGAGAAGGGGGCTTGGACAATGGCATCTTCCCCGCTCCGAGGCGCGGTCCCAGGGCTCTCAGCTTCTCCTGGACTTTGAGTGCTGAATAAGCCACTGTAGGGTGATGTCTGCAAAGGCAACACACAGAGTTACCGCCCGCAAAGGGCAGAGAGCCCCCTCCACCACCCCCTCCAATGTGGGGCTCAGGGGAAGGGGTCGGCGGGGTCTCCCTGGGGGCTCAGAGACTGGCACCTTCTCTAACACAGCTGTTCACTGCTGCATTTCAGCCACTACTCTGTGGCAGTGTCCCCCAAAGCCTGGAAACCTTGGGCACAGCTCCTTGGGCACTGCCCACACCTGCCTTTGGGATGGGGAGTGTAGGCCACTAACAGCTGAGAAATGACACTTCTGCCCCATTTGCCTCATCATGAGCTTAATGGGCTTAGGAGCCAGAATACCTGAAACTGCAGGTGTTTCCCAACTGAGCCCAGCTTGTCCCCTCCCTCCGGCTCCCTGCAGACCACGGCCCAGCACTCACCAATGTTGTCCTTTTCTTTGCAGGAGATGGAATAGCAACAAATCTCTCGATCTTGGATGGCAGACAGGTTCCTGTGGAGAGATGGAGCCATGAGAGCGCAGACTGATCAGTGCAGACTCCAGCTGCTCCAGTCAGCCTGGGTCAAGGGCTCAGGGGGAGCAGAGTCCCTTCCATTAGGGGCCACCCTCGGAGGCCCCTGCTATAACCTTCTAGTGCTGCTGGCTCAGGATGAGGCTGGTCAACAGTCTTGCAGCAATGAAAGAACCGAAAATAAAAGGTTCTTGACAAATGGAACAAGGCCCCCAACCATGAGCCCACCGGGCGGGCTGTGTATTACCCAGCAGCTCTTACAGCTCGTTCCACAACCATACAGGAGACAAGAATCAGGGCCCTACCCACGGCACCAAGCCAGACTCAGCCAGCACATCCCCTCTCTGCATTAGCATCCCCACTGGAAAGGGGACAAGAGTGACCCACCATTATCAAATGCTTAAAATCCTCCAAAACCAAACCAGTACTAGAAGTATTACTACCACGGCAGCGGGCACAGGAGGGCTGCGTGCCACGGCCCTGGCTCCAGCCCCATCGACAGAGCAGCGGAGCCTTTGAAGGACTTTGCCGGCTGTTTGCAAAGAGCTTGGCTGTGCTGTGTCCCAAGGTGGGAGCCTGTGGAAACGCTCTCCTACCACTCGGGCTGCAGGAGTCTAAGGGTACGTCTTCACTGCAGTTAACCCAGGCTCTTACCCACACCGCTACACAACACACCCCATTCACACAAACACCTCGGACCTGGATTTGCAGGTGCCTTAAGCCCGGGCTAGCTGACCGGGTTGGGGGGGGCAGGGTTAGAGCCAAGGCTGTGCTTTACCTTGGGCTGGAACCTGCCCATTTTGCAGTGAGGATGCAGGCAAAAACCACTTACATGCTGCGTGACCTCCAGGGCCCATCCCACAACACCTCCTGCAATGGACTGGGAAGGAAGCCTCGAGCGGCTCAGCACGGGGGAGTGCAGACACAGTGAAGTGGGTAGGGCTTTGCCAGGCTAACCTGGGGGCTCAGACTCAGGCATCAATCACCCAGGTTAACTGTGCGGTGTAGACGCACCCTTGGACTGCAGTAAGAGTCAAGATGTGTCTCTGGTGCCACCATGTGGCCTAGGCTGAGAAAAGCTCAAGCAAAATGACCATCTTTGCCCTGACATAGCAACTTTCAGCCAAGGGCACCTCAGCTCCACACAGACTGGAGATTAGCCCCATTCTACAGCTGAGGCCCTGCCCAAGGTCATACAGCGAGTGTGGGGCAGAGGCAGGACAGAACCCAGGGCCCTCAGCTCCCCTTTCCAGCCGCTGGCACTGGGTAACGAGGCCTCCCCAGGTCTGTGGCGCACGGAGAAGTGTAGATACAAAAGAAAAACCACTCATGTAACAGCGAAAAAGCTACTGCAGAGGGGCAAAGCAGAGCACCTAGGACATGTTTCCCCAAACCAGCTGCCTCGCTGGTCACTGTCTGGGCTGCCAGTTCCCCCCTCCCAGCGCCCCCAGCGCGGGCCTTTGCTTGGGACTGCACAGCCTGCCCCAATGCCTGGGGTGTCACAAATGGGATGCGATGGCTTCACAGCAGGACCCAGGCTGGGGAGCCTCGGCACAGCTCTGTTATCATGAAGGGATCGTGGAGATGAACAAACCTTCTCTGCCCAAAAGGCTTCCAGGCCCTGACCCATGTAAGGGGGCAGTACCGTGTGCTGCTGGATTGCAGAAGCATCCCCAGGCGGAGCTGGAAACCCGTGCTCCTTTTCCCAATAGCACCTCCTGCTGACAGGCCATCGCAGAGCAACTCCCCAGCAGTGAGCTAGCAGGAAGGGACCAGGGCTCTGCACATGCTGGAGAGGGTTACAGCAGCCCAATGGCCATGTTGTTAGGGGTGGGAGCTGGTGGAGGGGGAACATCTTAGGGAGTGGGGCAGAGAAGCCATGGGGTTGGGGGCACAGGGAGGGATGGGGGCATTTTGGTGCTTGCTGCCCTCCATGGTGGGGGAGCCCTTTCTGCTGTTGCTCTGGGAAGGCCTCTCCAGCACCCTGGGAGAAGCTCCCGCAATCCCACGCACCAGGCACCTTCGTTAACCCCTTAGCAGCCACCTGGATCAGACCCCTGAGAATCCTACTCAGCAATACACAGAGACTTGGCATCCCCAAAGCAACAGCTAAGCAAACTCTGTTACAGTCCCACCCCAGCCTTTGCTGAGGCGCACACGCAGACAGAGACAGACTGACAACGCCTGCCGCCGGAAGGGGAGGCAGTGAGCCGTACTTACATCTTCTCAATAAGCTCTTTCTCATCCAAGGCACCAACGAGATCTCGCTTGTTCCCAAGCACTAGAACCTGTACGGGGAAAAAGACAGTGTCAGCATTCTCAGTCCCACACCCACACTGAGCCAGTTTTGAGGGACGGGGAGTCCGGCAACCTAACTATAGTTTTAACAGAAAATTCGTTGGTGTGAAGGAATCAAAACCTCCCCACCTCCCGGGGAATTCCTGCCAGCCAGTGAAAGCCAGCTGCCCAAGTGCTCCTCTCCCAGGATATGCTGGAGTGGAGGAGTTGCTGGGGATACTAACCGCTAAGGCGGTTTTTGGAATGAGATCATGTGCTTTACGTGCTGCATGGAGCTGCACCCCCTCTGCATTTCTGAAGCATCAATCCCCAGCTCAGGGTGAAGATATTACAATTAGCGTCTTGCAAACTGCCCCAGCAGCACATCTGAGCTCTACTTCCCAGCCAAAAACCTCACTGCGATGTCACAAACAAGACATGCGTTCCAAATGGCAGCTCTCCCTCTTGAGCACGCTCAGTGGGTGTGTCACTTATAATCCTCACTCAATGGGCCATGGACAGGTCATTATCTACACTCATTGCTTCCAGTCCAATCACTTCTGAGCTTCCGGTGGGCCCACCAATGGGACCAGGGGGTTTAATGGCCTGTAGGGTTATGGGAAGTTGGTCATGATCTTCCTCAAACTTTCCAAAAAAGTCACCTTCCAGCCCAGCGCCAGCCTGGAGAGCATCACCTCACAAAGCTACTTCTACAGACGAACGAGTGAGACGCTATCATAGAACCTGCTTTGCAGCGTGTGACCAAGCAACCAGAGATCACCCACCCTAACGACTGGGGACCAGCCTATGAAATCTGTCTGCTCCCCATTGTCTCCCTCTGCCCCAGGACTGGAGAGTGCTTACAGGGATGCCTTGGAGCTGCGGCTTGTCAAGCAGGTTGTGAAGTTCGTTCTTTGAAGCCTCGATCTTCTCCTGGTCTGCAGCATCCACCATGTACCTGGAATGGGGAAGGAACATTATCAGTGAGCCTGGGCCACTGGAAGAGGAAGATTGAATGAATCCCGCCTGAGGAGCACGAAACAACCAGAGTCCCTACCACCTCTCTCCATTACCAAGTACTCAGGCCTCCTTAGAGAGCTGCTACTCTCCACTGGGCCAGCTTCTGACCGGTCAGTATAAATCTACGCTATGAAGCAGATCGGAGTTACCGCTCTCTCTCTGAAGCGCTTCAGATTAGTCCCCTGGTACTCATCACGTGTCAGTGACCCACACCCTTCCCTTGGCACCTCTGGGCTCTTAGCACCCTTTGGGAAAGCCCCGATGGGTCCTTGTGGGGGCCAATCCACATCCATCCCTCAGGACTGCAAAGCCAGTCATTAACCCTTCCCCTGCTGAGAGCCAGGAGTCCTCATGGGCATAGAAACAACTTCAACTCACCCAGCGCCTTCTGCTACAGAGGCAACCTCAGCCTTGCCTACACTTACAAATTAGATCACCCGAGCGATGGTGCTCAGGACTGTGAAACGTTTTGTGCCTTGAGCGCCGCAGCTAAGTCACCCTAACCCCCAGTGTAGACATGGCTAGGGTTGATGGAAGATTCTTCCGACCATCCAGCCAAGCCTTTCAGAGAAGTGGATTAACTACATCAATGGAAAAACCCCTTCCACCAAGGTAGGAAGGATCCATGCTACAGCACCACAGCTGGAGCATAGACATACCCTTAGTTTACCGTGTGCAGCAGCATCAGTCACACTGTGCATCAGTGTAGCTGAAAAGCCAGTGGGCGTGGGAACAACACACTGCGTTTGGATGCCCTACAGAAAGCGGCTCTTGCTCTTTTAGATTCTTATAAACATTTCTGCAGCATCTAACACCCTGGTGGCTGGGGGCACTTCACCGTGCTTTTTCCCAGAAAAGCAGCATGCACCGTGCTCCATAACCCCATCCAGCATCCAGATAGCTGACCGCAGAGGTGGGGAAGCCCAGCCAGTGGGCTGAATGCCAGAGAGTCTACAGCCAGGAGACAGAGAAATGACAGCTATCAAGTTCTAAATGTGATCAGGCTGGGCTCAGTCATATCTCCAGAGGGAGAGCCTGCTACGGAGATCACCCCCTCCCAGGCATCTGGGAGCGTCACCAACGGGACAAACAACTGCCCCGTTCCTGCTAAAACCCAGCTGGGGTTGCAGAGCACAGGAAGGGTGGTGTCTAAGTGGCCTTCGATGTTAGTTCCAGACAGCGCGTGTTGCAGTAATCCAGCCTAGAAGTAGTAATGCATTGATGATAGACCCAGGTTCTATCAGAGAGGGAATGGCAGACGTAAGTGACAGAGGGCATTTCTGGCTCCAGCTGCAGACCGGTGTCTGGTTAGACCTGGAGATTGCAAGCCAAACAACAACTAATAAGACACCCTCAGTTAAGGGAAAAACTATAAATTTCCTCGGATCCTCAAGGTGCTTCTCTGTGCCAGTCAGTATCACCACTGCCTTATGTGGGCTGAGTCTAAATCCGCTAAACTCTGGCTTTCATCCAGGCCTCAGTCTCGGCCAGACGGCAGAAGAACAAAGAGTCTATTCCGTCCCTGTCTGATGAAACGAGGTGGAGCTGAATGTCATCGGCATATTTATGACACCGTAGCTCATGTCACCAAACTCTTCCGAGCAGCCGCACGTAAATGAGGATACCGAACGTGGTGAGATTAGGGGACTTGAGTTGGGCAAATAATGGATGTCCTTGCATTTAGTGAACACCTCTTTCTGCTTACAGACATCTTACGTGGATTGAGATTCTCAACAGCATGTGTTACAATCTGTGAATAACTCTGGTTTGTGGCTTGCTGGTGTACAGTTTGCATGTATTTGATATGAAACATCTGTGCTGCTTTGTAAACTCAAGCCCCGAAATGTTCACAAGCAGGACCACAAAAGGGGGGTAGACTCAGGCAAAGGGAATTTGTTTACAACCATGAATGAAGATTGATTGAAGGCTGCTGCTTCTCATAAATACAGAATTTGCCAAGCAGCATAGGAGGCCTTGGGAAGGAAGAGCAGCTGCCTATAGCTGTCCCCTAGGACCACCCTACAAAATGAGCTGAGCCACCCAAGGCTAGGCGGTCCACCTTCACCAGGTCCCCTTCAAATGAGCAACTAGCACCTCAGGAACAAAAAGATCTAGTAGCATCAGCAAAGACAACCGATCTTCAGTCAGGAGCACACGAGCCTGTTATTCTGGACAACATCACGCCCAAGAGTAATTCTACTACCTAGGGCACCAGTCTGTGGTGGGTTGGGGAGACTGGTAAGCCACCAGAACACTGGGATTCCTGCACTAAGCAGATACATTCATAGGACTTCCTATCCCCAGGAGGAGAACCTCTTACACCTGATGCCGGGTACCAAAAGCACAGCAACAGCCCTTCCCAGGGCTCCGGCTGCACTGGGCAAGCTGCTGGGAAGATTGAATTCAGTGCTAGGGGCCTGATTCCCAGCAGAGGATCTCTGCACCCGAGGATTAGCAAATTGCTCACCCTGGGCGAACACAAAACCCACTGGACACAGCCCGAAAGGTCCTGCCAACCCTCAACCAAGAGACACTGTTTGAGAGCCTACCCTCTAAAACTTTCCCATGCTGTATTAAAGGCTCAGCAGCCCTGGAACGTCTGCGACGGAGTGTGAGCACAGCTGGGGGGTACTTACACAATAGCACTGACTCCGCGGCAGTATCGCTCCCACATGCTACGGAAACGAGGCTGACCGCCGATGTCCCAGAGCTGTGGGAAAGAGAGGCAGAGTCAGGAAGCACATGGACCAGGGAAGAAGGCACATCAAAAAGCAGAAGTGGCTCTTGGAGCCCAACGAAATGGATTTTGCACACCGCTACTCAAACTCTTACCCCTTCTCCCCCTCTTGATGAGCCCTACACAAGGCGTCACCTTGCGCCATGGTGGCAGGTTTGTGGAATTCATAAGCACAGCTGGGTGCAGAGCTTTGCTCAGTTTGTATGCAATTACCCAGAATGTTCTGCCCACTCACAGCTACTTCCTGCGAGGGCTGGGGTCTAAGGCCCAGTGTCCCACGGAGCCTGGAGGGTCTCTCTGTGTTCGCCATGCTAGGATGATGGAGGAATTTCCCCCTCACTGAAGAGTTCACATGTTTCGAGGACCACATTTTGTCCCCAAAACGCATGAGCAGCAACCAAAGGCACAGAATCTTTATAGTGAAGGAGTGATGGGAAGTGCTGGCTAACTCAAGATTTTCTGGTTTTCCATCCAGGTGCATCTGGAGGAGTGGAGGGGTAAAGAGAGTGCTATTTGTCTGATTGCTGAGACACGAATGTTATGAATCATGGACTGTAGTCCCACAGCTCCAATGGGCTCCTCCTTCCAGGACCCGCAGCCTCTCCCTTCCCTTCTCAGCAAAATACCTGTCCAGCCTCTGTCATGGACAAAGTTACCTGCCCACACTAGCCTGGGCAAATACCAAGAGCAGGATGAATGCCATCAGGAAATCCCATGTTACTGCAGCCTGGCCAGCAGCCCTTTACTGCAGGAGCCTGGAATAACTTGCATCCCAATACACTTGACCCCCCCTTTAGGGGAGCTGCAGAAATCTAAAACCTTCCAGACTGAACTAGTGTGGAGGCAGGTCTATTTTTAAGTCTCCTGACTGAAGCATTAGTCAGTATTATTTGCACCCCAATAACCTGCTGCACAAGAGCTTGTGAATCTCTAGATTTTCCCCACCCTGTCTCCCCCTCCAACAGCCACTGCAGAGGAGCTGCCTGCGTCTTACCTTTATGGTGACGTTTCCCTTGGTGATCTTCCTCATGTTGAAGCCCACCGTTGGGATCATGTCTTCATTGAACTGCCCCGACTGCAAGGAACAACCCACACTGAGTCAGCCATATCACGGGGCTGGGGACCTGCAAACCCTCAGGCCAGCACAAAGCATCTAAACTTCCCAGCCTGATGGCACTGGGCAGACTGCGGTGGAACAAGACTTAACTGTAGCTATTATTAAATCCTAGCTGGAGGTGAACCAAGATGCTCTGCAAGGACTGTCCTAGAACATGCCCCAAATATTCTACCTCCTTTGGTCACACCCCAGGTCATGGCTAATGCCAGCAGCAAAAACAACACAAATCAGAACCAGGTATCCTACAGAGAACAGATACTGCCCAGCGGCTGGCAGTGGGATGCATGCTTCTGGGCGCACATGGGGAACTCCACTCATAACAGGCCTGGGCCATTACTGCCAATATGCACTGGCTTGTAGCTATAGTGCCAGCTATTCATAGAATCATAGAAATGTCAGGCTGGAAGGGACCTTGAGAGGTCATCAAGTCCCGCCCTGTGTGCTGAGGCAGAACCAGGTAAACCTAGCCCACCCCTGACAAGTGTGTGTCCAACCTTTCTTAAAAACCTCCAGTGATGGTGATTCTATAACCTCCCTTGGAAGCCTGTTCCAGAGCTTAACTCCCCTTAGAGTTACCCTGTTTCACCGAAAATAAGACAGTGTCTTATATTAATTTTTGCTCCCAAAGATGCGCTAGGTCTTATTTTCAGGGGAGGTCTTATTTTTCCTGGAGCTTCGGGGCCTAATATTCCGGGGTGGCCTTATTATCCGGGAGGTCTTATTTTCGGGGGATGCCTTATATTACAGTGAGAGGCAAAACTGGAAGTAGGTCTTATTTTCGGGGGATGTCTTACTTTCGGGGAAACACGGTAGAAAGTTTCCCTACTATTTAATCTAAATCTCCCTTGCTGCAGATTAAATGTATTACTTCTTGTCCTACCTTCAGTGGACATGGAGAACAATTGATCACAGTCTGCTTTATAACAGCACTTAACATATTTGTAAACTGGTCACCCCTCAATTTTCTTTTCTCAAGACTAAACATGCCCAGTTTTTTTAACCTTTCCTCACAGGTCAAGCTTTATAAACCTTTTATGATTTTTGCTGCTCTCCTCTAGACTCTCTTCAATTTGTCCAAATCTTTCCTAACGTATGACACCCAGAACTGGACATAGCTCCATGAGCTCCATGAGCTATTAACTCTGAAGCCTAGGGAAGAATAATCAGATGCAACCACTGTTAGACTGTTTCACTTTTGACTAAAGCACATAAAGTGCAGATCTTCAGAACCTGATCTACTGTGAATGGCCACTGATTTTGGCATCACAAGTGGGAGAACGCCCTCATCTATTTTCCTCCAGTCTAACCCCTGGCTTTGGGGCTCCAACTGGGTTGAAAGGGTCTATAAAAATTCAAGAACTTCCTATAGTTAAATCATGCTTACTTGTTATGTTTCCAGCAACACAAAAAAACAAATTCAAAGAGTTGCAATTAAAAAAAAAAAAAACTATTACAACCTAAGACCTAAACTTATTACAATCTATTCAAATAGTTTAAATAAAAAACATGCAAGCAGTGTGCATTTTCTGTTGAAGTTTTAAAGGAAGTCAAACCACTCAACTAGTGGAAGTCACTGGGTAAGCCCCTGAAACCAGAGTTTGTTGAAGTGCTAAATCAGCTTTTGACAGCAGTAACCTCTTCTGCAGATGCAGAGAGAATCTCTTCTTCATTTCAGCTTATTCAACTAGTTCAGTTCAATGACTAATTTGTTCAAAGTTAAGAAACCAACTGAGAGTTGATACAGCAGGAAAGTTTGTTTTCCTCTTCCAAGCTAAGAATAAAATGAGGTGCAAGAGGATGAGATCTACTAGTTCTTAGGCTGAAAGACGCGATGACCAGAAACTCTCTTCAGTTCACTAATACTTTGTTTAATAAATCAGTTAGCTGTAAATACAAAACATGTTTTGATATGCATCCAGCACATTTAAGGTAGTTTTGCTGAACTATTGAAAACAATTGTAAAATGCTAGTTTTCTGCATTTTCAATTGAATTCCAATTTCCATCCAAGTACAGCTTGATGCAAATCATGAATAAAAAATTTATCACCTATTAAATAATAAATGTATCATTCACCAATTCCTAACATAAAAAAAATGTAAAAATCTGAATAAATGTATGTTAAGCTATGCAATTACTTAAATACGGATAGATTTAGTGTATCCGCCTGGTTAGCAAAAAGAAGCACCAAATTTAGTGTAAAGGCTATACTTAATTGCCAATTGACATGTTTTAATGGGCTGCCAAGCAATGAGAATCAAGCATTCTTTAGGAAAAGAACTAAAAAAAGATTAAAATAGAGGATTTAAATTAAGGTTTCCTGCCTGCTGACTAAATGGGTGAATTAAACCACTGCACCCTGGGGGAGTTAGCCCTGCAATCCCAAACCGGCGGCTTTGAAAACTTCCCATTTGTAGGTCACTCTCTCCCCAAACAAAGGCTATTAATAGGCCTGGCATCAATGTTGCTTTTGTTGGCTGCAATCAAGTGCGTGAGATGGGCTGCACCCAGGGACCGAGACCACAAAACCAAAGCTTTGTCTCCGCCAGGGCACTAGTCTCCCTCAGCAGGGCAGATATATCAGCAGTGACCCTCCCCTTCAGTTCTGTGTGCAGCCTCTGGCCACCCTCACTGAGCATTTGCCACTCTGGAGCATGTAAAGTACAGTGGGCCCCACGCGAAGCAATTTCTGATTTCTCCATCAGAGTTGTTAACCTCCTCAATCCATTTCTGCTGAACCCTGTGCATCTTGTCACCGTTCTAGGGAAAATCTGCTCTAGTGACTGGAACTGTCCAGACAGATCAATGGGTTTAAATCCAGTTACCTGGGATAAGACTAGGGGGCTCTCATATGCCAAAACCCCGAGAACTAGTGCAGGGCTTGAAAATGTTTCCCTACCAGCCAGAGATATACGTGAAGGGTAAGTGTGACTGACCTGTCCAGGGGCAGCTCCATGGTTACAGATCCAGCCCCACCATCTTTGCTACATCCCATCAGCTGTGGAAGAGTGCTGCCCTCCAATCCCGGCTGAGGGCTCCGTCTTTCATATCAGCTTCTGGCCAGTGGGTATCTGATCAATTTGAAATTCTGGCCCCTTTAGCTACTGGAAGCAGCTGTCTGTCTTTTCTGCTCCCACCAAAGCCTCCTGACTGCTGTGAGGATGGGATGGGGATGGGAACAGCTCTCTGCTACTCCCCCAACTCCTGGCTATTGCAAGGAGTGGGAGAGGGGAAGATATATTCTACTCTACCCCGCCCCAACCCTCAATTTTTATTTCTTTTTGGATTCTACTTCCCCTTGAATAACTCCTACGCACAACTAATCCTAGATTTGCCAAGCAGCAGCAGCATGAAATTGACATGGATTTCTGGAAGCATCAATGTTGTCCATAGATCTTGAATAGCAGCACTGAAATTGACTGGTCTTGTCAAACCTATAAGGAGTAAGTACCAGGGGTCCTCTCTGCAGCCCTCTCCTTCACAGACTCAGAAAGACATCTTAGATTCTAAGGACAGACGGGACCACTGCAATCACCTTGTCTGATCTCCTGCATAACACAGGCCATAAGACTTCCTTGAATTAATTTCTGTTTGAAATTGAGCAGATCTTTTAGAACAGCCCATCCTGATTTAAAAATGGTCAGTGATGGAGACTATCACAAACCCTGATGAATCGTTCCAACGATTAATTGCCCTCCGTATTAAAAATTTACTCCCACTGTTAAAAAAATTATTTCCAGTCTGAATGTGTCTAGCTTCACGGCTTCAGACCAGATTTGGAAGGTTTCTGTCACAACCATAGAGAGGCATAGATTTTTTTTTTAAATTAGTAAACTTCAGTGGAGCATAAGTTTTCTTTAGGCCCCGCCCACTTGCAAGGTATTTACAGAGGCCACTCCCCTGCGACAAATGGATTTTCCATTTCTGTACAGGGGGTGTTGTGGGTGAGAAATGGCATGCACCAGCAGAGCAGCATGGAAACCCAGGACTGGAATAGCAGAGTACTGCAGGTAGGGACTCAGGTCCATTAGTACCCTACCCCCCCAATTGTGCTCTGGCTGGGCGCAGACAGCACTGACCCTTTGCTTTAAAGAACGCTGATGTTTTAGGCCAGATTAAAAAGCGGCCGCTGATTCTGGATGCCACGTTGAGGTGGTCAGCAGCCAAAATGCCAAGTGAAGTCAGTGGGAACTGCAGGTGCTGGACACCTCTCAAAATCAGTCCCAGCTTATCTTAAGTTGGGCACCTCAAATTGAACAAACCGAAACTGGGGGCTAGGTTTAGAAATTTAGCTTTGCCCATTTTTGTATTGGGGGGGTGGATGGGTCCTATGTATCTACGCCAGAGACCTGTGGATTCTCCATTTCCATTTTATGGAAGTCCTTATGACACAGCCCCCATCTTTACAGCTGCAGGTAGGACAGGATATGGACACCCCTTAGCCAGTGCTCCTTCGTCTGAGCACTGTTAAGTCCCCTACTCTCTGCCCCCTGCTGATCTAAGGAGAAAGAGACTGTAGAGGACAGTCTGCCCACTGCTACACAGAAGGTACATTCTACACCTGCAACAGCTACATCTACATTGTTCAACTTGTAGGTGTAACCAGGCACTGCACCTTTGGCTGCCATGGACCCTTTAAAGTTGTAGGTCATATGCCAGTTTCTACTCATAAGCCCTAAAGGAACTTGCATGTAAGGTGTTCTGCCTTTTATGAGAGACCGTGGGCAGGGCTGGACCTCTCAGGAGCTAGCTAGGAGTGCTGGGAAGGCCTTGGGGAAAGGGATAGGAAACCTGTAGACAGGGCCGGCTCCAGGCACCAGGCAACCAAGCTGGTGCTTGGGGCGGCACCTGGAG